TTGTCAACAGCCTCAGAAAAAACCCAGTAGTGCTGGTGTTATCAAGAAAGAAAATACACTGCTCTATTTGCACACTGTGTCAATTATTCCACCTGTTCACCAGTTCACAGATATCTCCTAGCTTATACTTATGACAGCAACAAAAATGCAGTAGCTGATCCTCTAAAAATTGCTCCTACATTTCTGCTTTCCTCATAGATCCTTTTAGAACATCCTTTTTTTATCCAAATCCTTCCCAAACTCGTTTGGGCAAATTTGGATTCTCATCTGATCGCCCTAATTGAGACCGTTGTGACAACCCACAATGGCCAGGTCTTTGCCCAAAATGTCAGTGTCCAGTCACCAAATATTAATGGCCAAGACTGTTCAGGTGCACTGCATCATGACCACTCAGGAACACTGAAGGGGCCTTAAGGACTTTCTGGACTGAAGGCCGTGCTTTTCTATGGAGAGGTGTAGGAAACACCTGTCCCTATTGACCAGATACCAAGCACATTTTCTCTGTGGTTGGCTACAGCACACCCCAGCACAGTGCCAGGGCCTGGCTGTCCTTGTGTGCTCCAGCTGCTCAGAGCCATGGCAAGTTCTGCACTGCAGCATCGGGCACTGTGCCTATGCGGGACCCACAGCCAGTGGCAATAGTGACACAGGCAGGCAGGGCTTTTGCCAGCTCACAAACCTAAATAAGTACGGTAAGACCTGAGATTTCATCAGTCAAGATCGGGGACTCTCTTCAAGATCATGGCCTATTGTCCTCCGAAACAAGGCAGGCTTCAGAGCCGCCTGTGTGCCTGCAGTGGTAGGTGGCAGGAATCCGTCCGTCCTCACCGCGCACACTGATTATCCCGTCCCAGGTTGTAATTACAGCTTGGCCAGGCAAAGCTGCTGCCCAAGGCATCAGGTTCATGCTTGTGCCAGCCACAGTACCTCGCTGTTCAGGTGACGGAGGGACAAGTCTTTGCAACCAAAGGCTGAGAAGAGGGCACTTTTGAGAGCAACGCTTCTTAGGATTTGGCCAGAAAACAAACTGCTAAGCATTAAAAAAGGAGGCTGGCGTCTCTCTCAGGAGCAGCATCGCGGACACCCCTAGGCGGGCTCCGTGCGGAGAGGCGGCTCCTCCCTCAGCGCGCGAATCACGCCACCTCCACCCGGGGCCAAAGTCTCGCGAGACCTGAGGCAGCGGCCTCGCTCCGGCTCTCGCGAGATTTGTTTCGGGCGGCGATGGCGGCGCCGGGCCGGGCGCTCCCCTCAGGGCCCTCCTCCAAGTGGGACATCCGGGAGAAGGTGTGGGAGCACCTGGAGGCCTCCGGTCTGGCCGAATTCCCGCGGCCCGTGCGCGGCCGCATCCCCAACTTCAAGGTACCGGCGGCTGCCGGCGCTGGGCCGCCTCCTGCTGCTCCTTCCTTCCCTCGCCTCGGGGCCTGCCCGCTCTGCAGCCCGGGCCGGGATGGGCCCCCAGTCCCCCCCAGTCACCCCCAGTCACCCCCAGCAGCCCTCGAAGGAGAGAAAACAAAGCCGCCCTGTCGGTGAGACACAGACCGGTTTGAATTGGAGGGGAACGTAAAGCTCATTCAGCAGGGACACCTTCCACTATCGCTTCAAGCCCTGGCCGTGGATGTTTCCAGGGATTAACAGGAAATTACCAGCCCCTCAATTAAAAATGTGCGGAGATCAGCCTCTCTAGAGGGTGAAAGGTTCTAAATTGCCCATCTCAGCTGTGAGCTCTCTGATCCGCTGATATTTTATGCAAACAGGGCGCCTCCCATGCTGCCACGAGGCTTCTGGGCTTGCAGGAGTTCCAGGCTGCCTGTACAGTTAAAATAAACCCCGATGCTCCCCAGAGGAATGCCCGCTTCCTAACGCTGGAAGTAAGTGAAAATGTTCTCCTCTTGGCTCCTTCCCTGTCTCAGGGCTCTCTCCAGGCCTGCTGCTCTCTCAGGGAGCTGGATGCGTTCAGCAGAGCACGGGAGGTGAAGGTGGATCCTGACAAACCTCTGGAAGGTGCCCGGCTGGCGGCTCTGCAGGTAACAGCGCCTTGGCAGCCCTGAGGAGGGGCTGGGAGGGGACAGCAGAGCCTGGCAGCACCTCAGCAACACCTGGCACTGCATCTTCAGCAGTGTTGATGTGCAGCTCACTGCTGGACCTTGAGCCAACAGGTATCATAGAATGGTTTAGGTTGGAAAGGATTTGAAATATAATTCAGTTCCAGCCTCCTACCTTCCACTGTCCCAGGGTGTTCCAAGCCCTGGACACTTCCAGGGATCCAGGGGCAGCCACAGCTTCTCTGGGCACCTGTGCCAGGGCCTCCCCACCCTCACATGGAGGAATTTCTCCCTAGTACCCAATCTAACCCTGCCCTTTGTCAGTTTGAAACTAATATATCTTATAAAGCCATTTAGAGACATAGCTTTAAAGGATGGGATATCTTTAAAGGTGTGTCCTCAAATATTTTCAAATGTATGCCTTACCTTTTATTTCTTCAATAAACCTTTTAATGGAATTTTCATGTATTTGGAGGAAGTTAATCTTACAACCACTACAGAATTAACAACACTAGCTACAACATAACAGATTAAATATTTGGACGTGTAGCTTTTGCTGTGTGACAGTAAAAATGGTTCTTCAGTGTAAAATGAACCTTTTCATGTGGTTCCCCAGGCAAGGAAGACTTTGCTGGTTCCCACACCACGTCTGAGGACCGGGCTGTTCAATAGGATTGTTCCCCCTCCAGGTGCAACCAAGGAGATCCTGAGAAGATGTGCCACGTCTCAGGTGGGAATGAGGGAGGGCTGAATTAACTTGTGGGACAGTGTGGGGTTAGGATGGACCAGCTGGAAAACATGAAATATCTTCCTGTTAGGATGTTATTCCTGGGTTTGTGCACACAACTGCCATCGACAGGATTGAAGTCAGGAGAAAATTTAGCCTTAGTAGGATGGTATTGATATTTCTCAGTGTTTTTTGGAAAATTATGGGTGACTTGAGGTGAGTTAGATTTTTCTTCAGGCTATTACATTCTGCAGTTTTAAGCTGCAGAACCCTCTGGGGAATATTTTAGTGCTCTTAAGTGTTACCAGATAGGGAAGAGGAGGTTTTTTTTAAGAATACAGCATCCACAGACCCGTGAATTGTGGCATTTGCACGCAGTGAGGCGCAGGCACGTGGTGAGGTTTGGTTTTGCAGCACGGTCTCTTGCTGCCCTCTCGTGTTACAATCTCAATCCACAGCTGAAGGCTTTGGCCAGAAAACCCTGGCAGGTTTTATATCCATCTTTATTTGCCGTGAAAACCCATCTGCTACAGCATGAAGAGGTTACTATATGGATTTATTTCCACCTTTATCTCCTGCTAAAGGCAATAAAGTTCTTCAGCAACGCCATAAACAACTGAGGTTGTAGATGGCTGGTAATTAGTGACTTTCTTTGTTGGAACTTCTATTGGAGTCATTAACTAATTAAGCTGTTCAGGGTTGAAGAGCACTTTTGAAAGAGACCTTTCTCTTGGCCTGCTGTCTGATCTGGGCTCTTACCACCCCGTTTCTGGTTTTCCCCCCAGCCCACAAATGAAAAAATGCTGTTGGCAGTTTGTATTTACAAAGCACTGTGCAAACAATCCTCACCACTCTGCTGGGAAGTGCCTGATGGGCATTAGTGCTGATAGTCAGCCACAAATTACTGAATTCTTGGTGTTTGTGCTCTGCACAGAAAATGTTTGGCTCTTTATTGTGATTTTCTGTTAGTTTATAATTAGCACCAAGTTGAGCTGGTGTGAGGAGCATTTGCAGTGTGCTGTACAAATATATTGGTAGTGATTGAATCATGAGATATATTTTTAATAGTTCTAAACCTCCGATATTTAAAAACCCAAATAAACAAAATCTTTAATTTCTGCAGTCTGGACAGAATTTTTGTTAAAATGAGAACAGATTGAAGAGGAACGGGTGGAGCTGAACAGGGACAGAGGGGAAGAAAAAATAATTGTGTTACTTTGTGTAACTTCAGATTTCTTTGTGCTGTAGCTGTCTGTGTCTAAATTAGCTTTGTGATTTGTATTTCAGAATTAATTGAAGCATTTGTAGTGCTCTGGTATTCCTCAAGTTTTTAGTAGAGTAGGGAAGTGTAAATAGGAAGTGTCACTTGCTCTCATTTTTAGGAACAGATTTCCAAAAAAGTGTTTCAAAATATCAGGTTTTGATCCTAAATAAATAACCTTGCTTCTAAAAGTGCCCACCTCCCTCAACTCTCCTTGCAGTGTGCCAAAATTCTTGTCACTGTAGTAGGGAATCTATTCTAGGATTCCCTGGGGGATAACTTCCCAGACATGTACATACAGCGTGCCTGTGGGGCTGGATGGGAAAGCACAAGTGGATTTGGTTGTGGTGGGATCAGTGGCTGTCTCTGAAAAAGGTAAGGAAAAACTTGCAGCAGGAAGGTCCCAATCCAGTGTCAGGGGGGCCACACTATGTGGCAGAGACAGATTTATCCTTGGAGCTGAGTTTGTCTTGAGTTCTGCCTCTGTGTGTGACAAATCCCTGCTCTCAGTGCCAGCAGGAAGCAGCAATGCCTCCAGGATGCAGTGGGCACACAGCAGAGATGTTTTGGCCCTCAGGAAAACTCTTGAGGCAAGCAATTATTTGTGTTTTAAAGGAACTCAAGCAGGCTCCCTGCTCAGAGATCTCTGCTCACACAGGCTGTGTGAAAGGACATGTGTCAGACCTGCTGATTCAGTACCTATTTGGGGATCAGATTTTGCGTTTTCTCGTATTTTGGAAATCTGCTGGTGCTGAAAAATTTTCCACTGACTTTATCCCTTGCCTAAAATAACACAGTTTTTGTACGTGACCCAGACTCCTCTTTACCCACATTAACCTGTGTTGGACATGAGTAGAAGATTCTAAATACAATTGCTAAATAAACTGCTGCGTTAACTGCATTAAATTTGTTTATTCTGAATGGGAAGCTTCTGGGATCTCTTAGGAATCATTGAAACTGATTTTTTACTTCATTTCAGTGCTGATTTCAAGGAAATTGTGCTCTGTGAGAGATGCTGATCTGATTTTTTCCAGAGTTACAACTTGCAGACTGCCCGGTTAATGACACAATTTTAACAGTTTTCCACTCTGCTGTTTGGTTGTTGTTTTTTTTCCTCTTTTCTGTGCTTTAGGCTGGAGAATTGGCAAAGGGGAAGGTTATGCAGACATGGAATATGCAATGATGGTGTCCATGGGTGCAGTGCAGGAGGACACACCTGTGGTTACCATCGTGCACGACTGCCAGGTGAGCTCAGATGTTCAAATATCCCCTCTCCAGTGGGGAGGGAGCTCTGGGGCACTTCCTGCTCTCTCTGGAGAGGAGACGTGGAATGATGCTGGTTTGGCATCTTTATTCCCATTGTCTTGGATGGATTTTCATGTGACAAGACATCAGGAATGGGGCACAGTTTTAGGGAATTTGGTTTTTAGCTACTTAAGCAAATCTCTGCTTTGTAGGTGCTTGATATAGCAGAGGAGATCCTGGATGATCATGATTTAACTGTGGATTACATCCTCACTCCAACAAGGACTATCCAGACTAATTGCAAACGACCAAAACCTCAGGGAATAATGTGGCACAAGGCAAGTTCAATCTCAATTCAAGTTAAATCTTAGAGCTTTGCTGCTGGTGGCTTACCAGTACCAATAACCTGCTGATAAACCCGTAATTTTTATATATAAACAATTTTTTTTATTAGAAATACTTTGTAAAAGAGCAAATGTGTTTGTCAGGTGAAACAAAACAGCATCTGTGTACAGTGGGGTTTAAGGGGTAATGGTGAGGAGGAGAGATATTTCAAATCTGAGGTTGCTGGATTATCAAGAGCTGGCAGCCCCATCCCTGGAAGTGTCCAAGGCCAGGCTGGATGGGCTTGGAGCAATCTGAGATAGTGGGAAGTGTCCCAGGGGGTTGGAACTGGTGGGTAGAATCTGTGTTGATTGTGAAAGGAAAACATAACCTGCTGGTGTTGCATTCCTGTTTCTGTAGTGGATTCACTTTGCAGGGATAAATTTGTGGCTGGAGCTCGTTTTCAGGTGGAAGAACAGTGACTTTCAACATGAATCTTTATTTATTGGTAGTTCCTCTATTATGGATTTGGCCTTTTCCCCCTTCCCAGTGTCAGAAACTTCCTCAGCTTCCCAAATAGTTTCAGAAAAGCCTTGAGTGAATTGTTTTACTGGAGGTTCCTACTGGGAAAACTTTTTGTCATTGGATTTTCATTTCTAAAATCATCCAGTTAGAGAGCAGACACAATCCTGCATGAGTGTGTGCAGCAGGAATGCTGAAATGAGGAATTGTGCACCCACAGAAACTGAGGAATTTTAAGGGAATACTCCCAGGGAAATGAAAAATCGTTTGTTAAAATTTGCCAACCAGCAAAAAGAGTTAAATTTCTTTAGGTAATGTATCTACAACAAACAAATTCTAGCCAGGACTATTTTTACTCCAATGGTGGGAGAGCATTTTACCCTGCCTGTGGTTGAGGATTTGAGGTTATAAATAAATAAATAACAGCTCTGTCTGTCCTAGTGCATTTTTTCCACTGAATTATTTTTGAATTGTAATTTTTTTTTTTAGGATCTTATTGAATGTAATTGTGTTGAAGGCATACCCCTCGTGCTCCATCCATCTTGCCAACATACTTTTGATCAGTTTGTCTGCCTTGGTGTCAGACTTCTCAGTAAGTGGCCTTGCTGACACTTCTTTATTTCTTTTTCTGTGCCTTTAGCAGAAATTGAATTTTCTGCAGCTTTCACTGTGAATGGAGCACAGATTGACCCTTCATTTGAATATCTGAGTGTTGATTTAACACCTCAAGCTGTGTTTGGAGCTGTGTGGATTAAACAGGAAAATTGGAGAAGACCAGGCAGAGCAGGGATAATCATCACTTTTCTGTCTTTTTGGGACCAGAACAAAGTGTAGTGTCTATATGAAGAAGAAATTACCATTATTCCCCAGGGAAATGAGTGACATTTATTTTGTTTGTGCCTGTGGTGGTACCTGGATGTTGTGCTCTTGCACAGAGGGGTTTGGAGGTGGGAGGTCTGGTTAATCACCAGGGGGTGAAAAAGCCAACATTTGATAGGGGCTATTTAAGTGTTTGTCCTCTGGATTTTCCTGGCTACTTCTCCATCATTTTCTCCCCCTCCTTTTCTCCTTCAAATCCTGGCTTTGCTGGTGCATTCCTGTTCTTCAGAGCAAAACTAAATGAACCAAGAGGCAGTGAGTAAATAAATCATCCACTTGTAAACATGGGGTTTTGTCAACAGCAGGTAGCTTAACTTCATTGTGAGGACGTGTGAGGTGGAAAGTACACTGTAAAAAAAAAGTTGATCCTTGGTTGAACAGGGCTGGATCAGGCCAGGAGTTTGAAATCCAGGTGTTTGCAAATATGGGATTAGAGCTAAGGATTGTTGTAAGGACATGCTGCCAGTAGTGCACACTCTTCCAGAGGGAAGGAGGTGCTCACCCAGCAGTCAAATCCAGGGCTCCATTTCCATGCTGAAGGAGCTGCTGCATTTTCCTGGAGTGCTCTTGTGTGTTCTGTGCTGCTTAAAGACTTTCAAGGAAGTGCAAGAGCCACAATATCATCAATACCAAAGAATCATTATCCAGCACTCTAGAAACACTTCTAAATCCACAGTGCTGAGAGGTGTTTGTGGAAGTTTTGTGCCTCTGAGGTCAGAGTTTTGGGACATCAATTTGAGTTACTGGAGGGCAGCAAGAGCTGCTGAGAGCTGAGCACTCTGGAAAACTTTATTTGGATGCCAGTGGAGCATTATTTGGCTTCATCTGCATTGAAAACCCACCCCATTGTTTCTGGGAACTCTAAATTCATGAAGCTACTTGCTTTCTCGTTTAATATTTTCTGTGGGTAACTGTGATCTTTATCTGGGACACTGGCTATTATATTTGTCCCAATTATCAAGTTATTTGTGCTGTGTTTATTTTGAATTGAAACTGTACAGACAAATTAAAATATTTGGGTTCATGAAGAGGGAAATGAGAGTAGTTGGTGGAAAAATCACTATATTTTAGCAGGAATTTCCTTCTGGTTTTGAAATAATTCTTTTGCTGAGAATTTTATAGCAGTAGGAAAAGAATTTTCCTGAAATGAAATGAACTGTGGAGGGAATCCCAGTGGCAGAGATGGAAACCCTCTGACAACAAACTGCTTTGATTTGATTCTGTGATAGAATATTTGGAAAGGAAAGCTCAAAAAAAAAAAAGGCACAAAAAGCTGGAAAATCCTTCAGCAGAAGGAAATTGCAGTCAGTGTGGCCAAGGCTTTGTTTTGGTGTGTTTTTTGGGAGCAGGGAATGCTTCCACACGTGGTCACACATCTCAACACCTTTGCAAAGCTGAGCCTCGCTGCAGAGTCCCCGGAATGCTGCTGCCACGGATGGATTCCAAGTGTGGGTTGCATAAGGTTCTCCTGAGGGACACCAGCAGGCTCCACGGGCTGCCAGCTCCCAGAAATATGTCCTTGGATTGTGTGCACATATTTGGACATTTTGTGCAAATGAATGATAAAATGTTCAACTGTGCTGGCCTTGCTGTCCCGGCCTTGTCTGGGCCTCAAATCCCTGTTTGCTCAGAGCTCCTGGAAACGAGGACACAGCATGAAAAGTGGGGTTTGTCCCAGAGGTGTTGAACAATCTGGGGTCAGAGCCCTCTGAGGATGGGCAGAGATGAACCTTGCCAACACCTTTTGCCCACCTGTTTGTAAGGGCTGGTGGATCTTCAGCACTGGAGATGTTTGGTGGCGTTTGCAGCCTGCCAGAGCAGCAGCATCAGTCTCCATCTTAAAATCATGGAATGGTTTGGCTTGGAAGGGATTTTAAACAGAATCTTATTCCAAGCTCCTGCCCACCCTCCACCATCCCAGGTTGCTCCAAGCCCCATCCAGCCTGGCCTTGGGCACTTCCAGGGATCCAGGGGCAGCCACAGCTGCTCTGGGCACCCTGTGCCAGGGCCTGCCCACCCTCACAGGGAATAATTCCTTCTCTAAACCTAAACTAAATATTCCCCTCTTCCATTCCCCTTATCCTGATGAACAGTACCTCTCAAGCTTCCTTGTTGCCCATTCCCATCCTGGAAGGTGCTGGGATGGCTCCAGGCAGAACAGCTCCAACTTTCTCAGCCTGTCCCCACAGGGGAGGTGTCTCAGTCCTCCTACCAACTTTATGGCCTCCTCTGGACTTGATCCAACATTCCATGTTTTTCTGGCGCTGGGATCACCAGAGCTGAGCATGGGATTGCAGGAGGAGTCTCCCAAGATCCACATGTTCCAGTGTCAGTGAGATGAGGAGCTGTGGGAGGCAGAATGAAATGACAGGATAAGGACAGCCTCTAATCCAATCTGCCCTTCCCTGTCTGCCTCACTCCAGGATTGCAGTGCTTCCAGGGAAATCTCAGTGCTGTTTGCCTTGGCCTGGGCTGGCTCAGGGGTCAGCATTACTCACTCTGACAGAGGACAAATACATCCTTCATTCCCCTCAGCAAAATATTGAAAGTGGCTCCGATGAGAGTTGTGTGGGAGCAGAGGGTGAGGAGAGCCCTGGTGTTCCAGCAGGGATGGTGCAGGAGTCCGTCTGCCACCACGTTTTGGGATCAAACCAGGTGTCATAGCAATGGATGCTGTGGTTAAAGTGTGGGGAGATGTGTGTTGGCACTCAGCATCCAGGACTGTTTTTTCCTCAGGTTTCTGTCAGAAAGGGGCCACATTTCCCTCCTCAGCTCCTTTCCCAGTAATTGTGTGCCAGAAGAATTTATCCAGCCTGCTGTCCTCTTTCCCCAAGGCTCTCCCAGCCATGGCAGGGTGTAGGCAGGATTATTAAATGATTAATTGCCTTTGGTGGAGTTATTTTTAACCCAAATCACTTCAGAGTTTATGGCACAGACCCATGAGCATTTCTGTTGGCCAGCTCCAGAGGGCTCAAGTGTGGAACTGGCCTGGGAATTGGTGGTCAAGGGATAATGGGAAGCTCCTTCGGCTTTGGTTTCACTACCAAAGCTAAATCACTCAATCCAAAGTTTAAAAACATCACTAAATGGCTTGGCCTTGACTTTAGAGGGATGGGGGAAGCTTTCAGTGCTGGGTTTGCTGTGTTCCCATAGCTGCATCAACCAGCCCTGGGCTGCAATGTCCCTTAAATTCTGGCTTAGCCTAAAGCAGTAGGTAGGGACAGGGGAGAGCAAGGCTAGGGAGGACTGAGCAGCCAGCACAGCACCCAGAAGTGTGCAGCTTGTTTGAAAGAGAGGAGGAATATCTTTGGCCTCTCTCCACATGGAAATAAATCCTTGCAATCCTCCACGGCTCACAGGACAAAAGGAACTTTTTGCAAGATTGTAATTAGCAACACATTGTACTACCACAGGGTTCTTTTGTTTGCTCTTTTGCAACAGAGCAGAACAAGCTTTTTCCTTTCCCCTGCCACCCACTGTCCCCTTTGCCCTTTTAGTTCTCACCCCCAAAACCCCAGTGGATTTGTTTGTTGAATCGAAACCCCAAATTGAGTTTTTGCCTTTCTGTGGCATAAAAGTGGGAGAAAATGGGGAAGGGTTTAGAAGGTTTGACCCAGCTGAGATGTTCTCCTTGACCCCAGAGAAAAAAGTCCTTAAGGTGAATCCTCTCGTGAAAGGAAGGTGTCAGCTGACTGTGTGAGAACTTGTCTAATGTTTTTTACAAATCTTTGCTAATACAAAAAAATACAAGCCAGCTGCCTTTGTTGCTTTGGTGATGTGAAGGTATTTTGCTGTTGTGACTGCACAGGGCTGGATTTTAGGGGAATGACAGAATCACTTCATGGTGGTGTTTGATCAGAACTTTAAAGAAAATGGTTCGTAGCCCTCACAGAAATCCAGAATCATTGAGATGGGAAAAAAAAAACCTTCCAAAATCATCAAACCCAACCTGTGACTGATCCCAGACCAGACTACTGAGTGCTATGTTCTGTCTTTCCTTAAACACCTCCAGGGATGAGGACTCCACCGCCTCCCTGGGCAGTAATTCAAATGTCTAATTCTGTCTTTCTGTGCAGAAATTCCTCCTAAAACATAAATGCTGTTGTTCCTATATCTTCCTGAAGTTGCCAGGAGCCTGAAACAGTTGCTCCAAGAGCTGCAGTCTGATGCCAAAATCTGCCTAGAGGGAGAAGATGCTTTGTGGAAGTCTCTTAGGGGTTGTGCTGTTCCCTGGATATCTAAATCCTGCCCTTGGATTGTCCTTGAAAGCCTGGGAATTGGAGTTTATCCTCTCTGTGCCCATCTCTGATTGCCCTAATCTCCAAAGCCCTGAGGGTTTGCCCTTGGTAGCATTTCCCTTTCTAATCAAACACCCAAGCGTGCCCTGGCAACTGAGTTTAATTCCAGGATGAAAGGAGCTGTTCTTGGGAAGAGGTTGAGGTTGTACTTTGGGCCCAGGAGTGGTTGGTTGCATGAGAACAGAAAAATGCTTTTCCTGTTTGGTTTAATTAGCACAGAGCTTACATTTCACTTCGAAATTTGACAGAGGACAACAAGTCTTCTTAATTGTTGGCCAGGACAAACAAAGTGAGGTCCTTCAGCCCTTGGTTTGATGTTGTATCACTCAGGGAAGAGGAGTTTGCTGTCAAATGCTGCATTTGGAGTTCTTGGCTGAGAAAAACAAATCAGCCCCAGAATCCACAGAGTAAGAACTCTGTAAAATCTGAAAATGTTCTGCACCTTTCTGAGTGTGGAGGCTCCTGGAGCAAGTCCTTGCTGTTTGATGTTGTGTTAGCAGAACTAGCAGAGTTCCAGCCTGAAATAAAACCGGCTTGTTCGCTCTTCAGAAGATGAAGCATGAAGAGAATTCTGTTGAGTGACTTTCCTGTCACCTCATCCTGACATTGCCCCCACCCTGGCTTGGCTTTTCCTCGAGTCACTTCAGAGCTGGGCTCCTGTCCCCAGAGAGCTGAGCTTGATGTTGTGCAGATCCAGGCTGGCTGTGACTGTAACTGTAGGAGCAGGAATCCAGAGGCTCTGGGATGAGTGAGGTCTGGGCTGGGAGATCTGCAGGCATGTCCTGGCTGGGATTTACTGCTGCTGCTCCAGTCCAGCCTGCTGAGGGTGCTGCCCTGCTAGAGTGGCCTGCTGACATTCTGGGCTACTAGCCTGGGTCTCTGCTAGCTCAGACATTGCTTCCCCACGCTCTGTTTTGCTCCCTAAATTTCAGCATTGGATCTGGTGTTGATGGATGTTGGACTTGTCCAGCAGCCAAGCAGGAATTCCTTCTCCTTCCAAGCGCAGTGTGCAAGCCAAGAGCTCGACCACATTAGCTGGGGAACCACTGCATTTCCTGCCAGTGCCTGAGTGCAGCCTGGGGCATCTCATGCCTCACATGGATGGGGTTCAGCTGTGGAGAGGAAGAGCCCTCACAGAAAAGCTCTTTGGGAACGGGGCATGGATGGATGGATGGATGGAAGGAATAACAGACTCACAGTGTGAAGTGCAGTGTCCGAGCACTTCTGTTCCCTGCTGCAGCTTGGCAGATCCGTGTGGGATCTGAGGAGCTGTGGGTGGTGTGGGAGGTCGGATGGCACAGAGGGGATGTGCCCCAAGCAGGGGATGTGCCTCCAGCTGGGCCCACATCCATAGGAACCCTGCTCCAAGGCACGCTCCCGCTGCAGCTTCCACCATTGTGTGACCCAGCCCACGGGATATCCTGTTCTGGGGGAAAAGAGCACCAGGAGCTCTGCAGAGTGGAAGTGTCTGATGGATTGGGATGGATTCTGCCAGGGCAGGAGCACAGGCCCTTGGTCAAAGCAAACACAGAGGCAGAAGAAGGAGAACACAGATCTGAAAGCACTCAGATAAATAAATGTCAAATTGGAATAGTCCTGACTTGGGTTGGGATTTGCCTGCTGGATCCACGTTGTGCTTCAAGAGTCACTAATGTTTATTTTTGTCCTGCAGTGTGTATTTTGGGAGAGACTTCCCAATCAGGCCAGCAATTAGGAACATTTGGAATGCTCTGGCACTGTGCGTGGCAGCAGGATAATAAAGGTTCCTCTCTTTTTATGGCACAAACGAGCCCTGATGCTCATCATCTTTTTCTGGAAGGCAAGAAATCCATTTCTAATAATTATATCCATCTTCCTCCTTTTTAGGTCAGCTCTGAGATGCTCGGAAAAATCCCCATCCTAAGGACTCTTCGATCCAGGGAGAAGCAGGCTGGCAAGGATGTCACCCTCCAAGATGAACATCCAGCCTTGGCAAACACCAACAGAGCAGCAGTTTCAAACAAGAAGGTGATGGCTGCAAATACCCAACCACGGGCTGCTCCAGGCTCAGCTCCAGTGGGACAACCCCGTGTGGAAAGTGATCCTGTGAATCCCAAATTAGAGGGATCTGACACAATTAGCACTGTGTACGTGGGGAACTTGCCTGGCAGCCTGAGGGTGAGCGAGCTGAAAAGCGCCCTGAGGGAATTGCGGGTGGTTCCTGTTCGGGTGAACTGGCAGGGAGCACAGCACAGGGCTTTCCTGGATTACAGGGATCAAGGAGCTGCAGACAGAGCTGTGTCCTCCTTGCAAGGCCTGAGCCTTGGGGGCAATGCTCTGAGAGTGGAGCTGGCCAAGAGCCAGAGGAACAGAGGGCAAGGAGAAATCCATAGTCACAAATGATTATGGAGGAGAAAAAAAATCAAAAGGTGTTTTCATTGTTTTGTGAGAAGCCAACCTGAAGTTTTAAGGTTTTTATTAAGCCTCAGGTTTAACTAAACCAAATTTCTGCACAAACTCTCTTCACTCCTGCACTTGGACATGCAAAGGTTTGTCCCCACAGGTGAGAGAGACCTATTTCTCTATAAAATATTTCTCTATAAAAAAATGCTCACAAAGTGCTCACACTCTGGTTTTGGTGTTGTTTGGTGTTTTTGTTAAGCCTGGCTTAAAGCCCTTCCCCTTGGCACCTGCAGCAAGGTGGTTCCAGTCAGTCATTTAAGGTTGGACCTGCCCTTTTTAACCTGTGAGGTTAAAAGCCAGCAGCAGGAAATCTGTCCTAAGGATAACAATTCTGTTTGCTAAAAATGGGCTTTGCCTGTTGGAAGTTTTAAGTTTATTTTTCATAAAAATGGCCAGGGAGAAAGGGATTGTCCTTTTTGTGCCTTGAAGAGTGGAAGCACTGGTTTAATTCTAGCTCTGCTAAGAGCTGGTAACATCAGGTGAGAAAAATGGGAACCCTTTTCTCAGCTCTTTATGATGATGATGATGATAATGAAAAGCAGGCACACTTAGTCTGGCATGGAATTCTTTGGGAATTTGCTGGAGATTGTAGCAAAGCCTTTGTGCCTTTGTCACTATCCCTGATGCTGTTCTACATCATCAGTGAGGAGGGTGAGACAGCACCACACAACTTCTCCAGGTGAAAGTGCTCCCAGGCACTGTCCTGGACATGAACATTCCCTTCCAGTGTAATGCCAATAATGATATATCTGCTATGCCTCTTATTACCTTTTTTTTTTCCCCCTTGGGTTTCCTATTCCTGAAAAACAAGTTGAATTTTGGCCCAGCCATCCTTTCTAAACAGAAGCACTTTTGCCAGTGATGCTGGGCACGTAGTCAAAGTAAGCATCTAAATGGATTTTTATTTTTTTTTTAAGTAAGAGTTGGAAACTTTTTTTCTTAGCCAGGGAATACTGTTAAGTATATTTTAAATAGATTATTATGCCTCGAGGGTCAGCCATTTATTCAGTATTAAATAAAAAGTTCTCATCGTTGTCATGTGGCTCTGTAGGGAAGGGCTCAGGAAAGCTTTGGAGCTGCATCCAGCCCTGGGATCCCAGCACAGGAAGGACATGGAGCTGTTGGACAGAGTCCAGAGGAGACACCAGGATGAGCAGAGGGATGGAGCAGCTCTGCTGGGAGGAAAGGTAGAGAGAATTGGGATTGTTCAGCCTGGAGGAAGGAGGGATTAGGGGTGAGCTCACTGCGGCTTTCCAAATGGAAGTGACTCCTCCTCCCGATGGAAAGGGACATTGGACAAGGGCCTGGAGTGACAGGATAAGGGGGAATGGGCTCAAACTGTCAGAGACTAGGGTTGGATGGGATACTGGGGAGAAATTCTCCCCTGTGAGGGTGGGAGGCCCTGGCACAGGTGCCCAGAGGAGCTGGGGCTGCCCCTGGATCCCTGGAAGTGCCCAAGGCCAGGTTTGGGCTCGGAGCAGCCTGGGATGGTGGAAAGTGGCCTTGTTCACAGCACAGGGGTTGGAACAAGATGATCTTTCAAATCCCTTCCAACCCAAACCATTCTGTCATTCTGTGAACTTCTTGTAAGGTCAACAAAGGATCTGGAAAAAATCAGTAGTTCCATTCCATTCTTTGTACAGCTCCAAATGATTTCCAGTATCACTCCAAATCCAGACGAGCACTGCACAGCCCTGTGGGTCTCATTTCAGGGCTTGTGCATTCAAGGCTGAGAGTCAGGGTTATGTTACTACCCAAACACACTCACTGCATCATCAGCTTCCAAAGCAGAGGAAAGAAAAGCAAAAAAATAATTATCCATCCCTGCCTGTCCCTTCCAAATGATGGCAAATTGAGTAATGGGATCATTTGCTGTTCCTTTTGACTCTGGGATATTTCTTGCTCTGCTGAAGATGTCCAGGTGACCTTAGCAGTTAGAAGCCAGTGACTCTGCCAACGAAAACTTCCAGCATCTCAAACTTCCCCTGTAGCATTTCAGATGGAACCACCCTTTTCTGGTCACATTTGTAGGAATCACATCCTCTGCCTTCTTTCCTTTCTTCCCATCTGAAGTTTCAGTGCAGATCTGTTTTATGTGTTCTGTAAATGTGGTAACTTTGCTTGCTTTCCTGTCAGCCCAGCCTGTAACCAGGGCCCAGATTTGTTTGGACAAACATCTGGATGTTTTTCTGTTTGCAGTTGTGGTTCTGGGTGGAGCCCACAGGTGAGCAGTGTCCAAAATCTTGGCTCTTTCCAGCCTGTCACTTTTTTCTGTCATGTATTTCCAAGCCACATTTCACTGCATTTACCCAATATCCTGTTGCTTTCCCAGCTGAGAGTTAAACTCCAAACCATGCCATGAGGAGATGCTAACTGGGGTTATCCAACAGGTTGGAAATCAGGAGGAATTTCTTCATGGAGAGGGTGGTCGGGAATTGGAAGGGGCTGCCCAGGGAGGTGGTGGAGGTGTCCAGGGATGGGCTGGACGTGGCACTCAATGCTCTGGGCTGGTGACAAGGTGGGGATGGGTCACAGATTTGATTTGACAATCCTGGAGCTCTTTTTCAACTTTCAAGATTCTATGAATTGTAGTTAGGAAGAATAATAATTACTGTAATCTTAAGTTTATTAGCATTTTGAATGGACTGGAAAAATGCTGCAGTGATCCTTGTAGTTTTGATGCAGGTAACTAATAAAAGTCAAGGTCTTTCAGGTGCTGCCATCTCAGTCAGTAAATCCTTCTCTGAAATCAGTGCAGATCTACCTTGGAGAGTCAGGGAAACAGGGGCAGAGATGGAGCTCCTGGTGCTGCTGCTCTCCAACTAAAAGACATTTCAGTGCCAGCTGCCAAACTGCTGTTGAATTAAATTAAAATGATTAAACACAAGAGTGGCCAAAGCACAGCCCTGCACGGCCTTCTGGTGTCTCCAGCTGTATGATGTGGATTTTCTCTTGTGGGTTGACCCTAAAGGAAACAGATTGTGTAGAAAAAGTGAATGGGGCAGTCTGCCTCTGTCAGAGCTATTGTTCCAGGCTCTCTGCATGCTCAGGAAGGCATCCCTTAGAGCAAAGTCAGGAGGGGTTTCTATAAGTCCACAAAACTCTGAAATGCAGCAGATTTTATTGAATCCTTGGGTTCTGATCTCATAAGAAATCTCGAGGAATTGAAGCCTGCTTATGTTTTATTTCAGCCCAGACCAAGGCTGTGCAAGATACCAACAATGTAACCATAAAATCCATACCCTGAGACATTCTCTGACTGAGTTTAAAGAGCCTTTAAAGAGCAGAATACTTCTCAGGTGTTTATTCCTCATTCTGTACCTGCTGTGGCTGTGACCTGTGCACAAAGATACAAAATGTGCCTCATCTCAGGTGGATCCTGGCCCAGTTTTACTGCTCAAGACTCATCAGAAAATCATCAACAGTAGCAAAGCAGTGCCTGGATGCTGCAGAAAAGTCTGAAATGCTGCTGATAGATCTCTACTCTGCCTTTAATAGGAAGTGAAGTGATCCTTAGCACAGCCTTGGGTGCAGCAGCAGCCCCAGCAGAGCTGTGTGATGAGAAGAAACGCTCAGCAGTACAATGGGAAACGTTTTCCTGAGCCAACTTTGTTCCCAATAATTCAGACTGAGGGCTCTCTATTCTCTGCACAGCCCGATGTCCTCGCCTGTCATGTGGTCAGGCACATTCTTTCCAGCTCCTTTCATGGCCCAAACATTTGAGATGGCTGTTGTTGAGCTGTTGTTGCTGCTCTCCCCTCTTTTTGGGGGTTCAGTGGGGGAAGATGCTGGTCTGGAGTGAACCCCTGGAGCCGGGAGGGTTTGGGATCAGCGGTGACCACCAAGGTGTTCCATGAGGGATGTGACCTCCCCAGGACCATTCTCCCTTTCTCCCTACCCTCACTTGTGGAAGAAACGCAGAGGGAAACCAGCATGGGATGAGTGGAGCCTCCACCAGCTCCAAGATGGAAACAGAGTGACTTTGGAGGGGTTTTTTTGTTGGAGGCCATCAGTGCCAGCGTGGTGTGTGGCTCAGAGCAGTGAGGCAACACTGGAATCTGCTAACAATGAGGGCGAGGTGGCTCCGTGCCACCCCCAAAACTGCACAGGCGTGAGGGTTTTCCCTCAGCCAGCCATGTCCATGCATTTCCTGGAACAGGGACAAGGCCACACAGCTTCAAGCCACCAAAGACAACAGTAAACAAGCTGGGTTGCTGGGTAGGCTCTGAGTTACAAGAGTCAGAGACTGTTTGTTTCCAGGGAAAGAAAAAGGGGAGAAAAAAAAATCTCTCCCCATCAAGGCTTTTTCCTGGATCTCACATCCAGGTCCACATCCAGCCCTCCAGCATCTCCCTGATCCCCTCCCAACACGCAGCTTGGAAGGACAGAGGTTTTATCCCATTATCCCAATTGAAAAAAAATCAGGAAAGGGATGGTTAAACACTCTCTTCAAGTCATGCCTTTTTTTTTTTGTGTATGCTTTTTTATTTCATCATCTTCTCCTGCTCCAAAGGGAGAAACAAACAGCTTTTAGGGGAATGTTTCCATTGAAAAATCCAGCACTGGGGCTGGGTTTTTTCTGCACAGGGGTGAGGAGGGGGAGGAAGAGCGTGTGCAGGGATTTCTCTCATTCCGGTTCCTCTGAAGGAACAGCTCCTCACAGCACTTCTGGCTCTGGAGGAAACATCTGTGGCTGTGGCCACGTTCCTCGGGCAAACCCCCCTGCTTGGGAGGCTGTTGTGTACCAAATGCTTTGATTTCCTGGTTGCCATCTCTTAAAGATTATCTCCCTCCCAGAAAAGGGCAGCATTTCCCATCTTTCCATGTGTAATGTCCGTGATGGCTGCTATAAACATCATGGAACATTTTCCTGCCCCTCCTGTGACATAGGTAGCAAAGTCCCTGCTTTTCATCTTTCAAAGCCCTGCAGAAATGTTTAGGGTCGTGTATCCTGCCATTGTTCTGGGCTGGGCATCCCACTGAAGTGCCTGGGAGAAATGAGTTCAGGATGTGGGTCTATCTCTGGTCCATCTCTGCTGCGGCCCCAGGAACATCCACATTTTACAGATGGGAACTCAGAGATGGCTCCTGATAGACTGGAGGCAACTGGTGATTCCCACCCCTTTGGAAAACAACAGGAGGACGAGGCCAAGAACTCAGAAAAAGCTCTCAAAAAACCCCAACCAAGCCCCTGTTGGGCTTTTCTGTGTGACCGAACTGATGTTCCCAAGGGGCATTCTCCTGATGGACTGGAGGCAACTGGTGATTCCCACCCCTTTGGAAAACAACAGGAGGAGAGGCCAAGAACTCAGAAAAAGCTCTCAAAAAAATCCCAACCAAGCCTTTATTGGGCTTTTCTGTGTGACAGAACTGGTGTTCCCAAAGGGGATTTTGTGTCCCAGGGGATACCTGGAGCCTTCAATCCCACTGGTCCTGCTGCTCCAGAATTTTCCAGCACCTGCCAGGGACAAACAGCAGCTCCTGCTCTGGGAGACAAGACATGAAGCAGACAGAAATTTTTCACCAAATGTGCCACCTGCCCATGACTCTCCATGTCACACAAATGTGTTATCACCCACCCATCCCACACTTGGAGCCAAGCCAGGTTTACCTTTCCTTAAAGAATAAAGCAAACACATGGGGCAGTTAGATGGGATCAAAAAAAGGCCAGGAGAAGAAGGAAAACATTCATGTGGTGAAAGCTGCCACATTTCTAAGCATTAACATATCCATGGCTACCACTCCTTCAGACTTCAGAGTGAATAATTGTTCAGACAAGAGTCATGCTTGTGTTTTTCCAGAGGGATCTCGTGTTTTCCGAGTGTTTCCAGGCACCTGCACTGCTCAGGCTCTGGCATTTCCATCCCTCTGGAGGAGGCAATGCCTGGAGCTGCTGCCCTGCAGTGACTTTTCTTCACCCCCACACAACTGCTGCAGCAAATTCTGCTCCAAATGAACTCCTGGTACCCCAAAGTCCCTGCAGAACTTTCCAGGCCATGTCATCCTGCTTTCCCAGGTGTGTTTGCTTATTTTTGCAGTAATTAGCCTGAAGCTGAGCCACAGAGCTGCACTTTCTGTGCCATTCCAGGGGTTTGGAGTCCTGCTGCTTTAAATAAAGGAAGGTCTGTGCTCAGGCTCGTGTTCTCCCTGCTGAAGCCAAGTGGCACTGCCAGTGTCCCCACATCCCTTTCCATGATTAAACCAAGGTGATTTCACCTCTAGCATTGCCATTTGCTCTCTGGTGCTCGTTCCTGACATCCTGGGGATCTCTGAGATGAGCTGGAGAAGTGTCTGAGGAAAGGAAATCCGTGTCGATGGCACAGCAACTCCCTCAGCGAATTTTTCCAAAGGATCTGCAGCTCCCCTGCAAAAGTTTAGTTCAAGACTGGAGTTTGAATGTTTATCAGAAGTTGGATGAATCAGAGCAACTTCTCATGGAATGGTTTGGGTTGGAAGAGACCTCAAAGCTCATCCAGTGCCACCCCAGCCATGGCAGGGACACCTCCCGCTGTCCCAGGCTGCTCCAAGCCCTGTCCAACCTGGCCTTGGGCACTGCCAGAGTTCCAGGGACAGCCACAGCTGCTCTGGGCACCCTGTGATAATGGGAATTCAGATATTGAGCCAGAAGCTCAGTAAGATTTATTCCTTCTGTTGTCTTCTATCAATAATAAACCCACAGGATCATTTTGATTGGAAAAGACCCCCTGGGATTATCCAGTCCAACCACTGATATTAATATTCTGGTTTTAATTCCTTACTGGCTTCTGACAGGGAAAGTTACTTAAGAAAACAAGGGAGCCCCATGCCTTTCCTCACTCGTGGAGCCAGTCTGAGGATTTCTAGGAATAACACCAGCTTCCAGCTTCAGAGCTGCTGCTGGCAGTGGGGGCACCTCCTTTCATCCCCCTGTTTGATCCCTGAGGATGACTCCTTGTGGCAAAGATTCCTTGGCAGGGATAAATCCAGGAGCATCCCAGCCCTGCCTTTTCCTGCAGAGCATCAGGCAGGAGTTATGCTTGGAAAAGGAACAGATGTTCAGGTGTGGCCTCCCAAAAGCATTGCAGAAATCAAAATCCCCTTCCAAAAGTGACAAGAGCTGTTGTTTGGATCCCCTGAGATCCCAGTTTTTTTGTTTTGAGCGAGAAATCAGACACCCACTGATTCTTATGGATCTCAGCCTTTATATCTGATAAGAACCTGGTGCCAAACTCATCCCCTGGGATTCCAAATACCCATTTAATGTTCTGGACGTTGTTCCCACCAGTTGATTCTCCAAGGTTTTCTGCAAATGTGGATAATCAACCCCATCTGAGAACATCCTGTGTCAGGTGCCTGTATCCATGGATTACTCCATGCTTTTCCAGGTATTCCCATCTGTCCCACTGGGCATGGAAAAGGTTTGATCCAGAAGTGCTCCATGAAGGAGTTGGAGCTGGTGTGAAGATGGGATAAAGGGATGTGCCCCCTCACAGATGCCAGAAGGGGAAAATAAAACCCAAAATAAATACATTTTGAAAGAGATTTTTAAAAAATAATTCATAAAGGAGAAAAACAAGCTTTTAGCATCCACCTGGTGGAGAAAAGGCTCCAAACCGGCCCTGACTGGACGGGTTTGAAACCAAATTTTGGGAAAGCCGCGGGCCGGCGTTCCCTGCTCGGCACCGCCAGGTGGCGCTGCCGGCAAGGGAACGGCACCGCCCCCCGACCCCCGGGATCATCCCAGTCCTTGGGGTCATCCCAGTCCTTGGGGTCATCCCAATCCTCCGGGATCATCCCAGTCCTTGGGGTCATCCCAGTCCTTGGGGTCATCCCAATCCTCGGGGTCATCCCAATCCTTGGGGTCATCCCAATCCCACCGTGATCATCCCAATCCTCGGGATCATCCCAGTCCTCGGGATCATCCCAGTCCTTGGGGTCATCCCAGCCCTTGGGGTCATCCCAGCCCTTGGGGTCATCCCAAGCCTCCGGGATCATCCCAATCCTCGGGAT